CCCCCGCGGCTCCGGGCCGGCGCCCTGGGCGGCGCGGCAGCCGCCGCCGGCGCCCCGAGCGGCGGCGGGGCCTCCGGGGCGGGGGCGCCCGCGCCGCCGGAGGCCGGCGCCGCGGGCGCTGCAGGAGGCTCCTGCTGCTGGAGGAGGCGGCACTCAAGCAGTGGCGACGCGTCCTGGCTCTCGCCTCTAGCCTATGGCCCTAGCAGACAATGTTCTGAGAACCTCTTGTGGCTTCCGCGACATGTTCTTGGGACATTCCTGGTCGAGATGGTCTTGTCTTAGCACATCGGGCTTGTGTTCCAAGAACCTTGTTTTTGTTCTTAGAGCATTGTTGGGTTCTAAGAACACTTCGTGGTAGGACCATAGGAATGCCGGGGCGGTTGGTTCCTGCTCAAGGCACTGGCACACACGCACGATCTGGAGGGCAACAAATCCACCCCGATACTAACCGCCCCAGCACGCGAGGTCTTTTTAAGTAAACGCGCCCAAAACAAAAATAATCGAACACGGCAGGGCTGTGTAGTAAACGCCCCGGGCCGTTTGGTAAACGCCAATTGTCCAGTCTGGGTGGTTTTTCCTCCCTTGGTCGAAGAGGGCGCAGGGGACAGAGATAGAGAGGGCGCGACACGAGCATAGACACAGAGAGGTACCTGTGGACCAGGTCGAGAGCGAGGACCTCCCACGCCCCCGGGGGAGATGCGCGCGACTGCTGCAGGCCTCGTCGAAAGGTCGTCTGGGGGACCTCCCTTTTGGACGCCCGAAATGGGTACGGAAAGAATGGGCACAATGCCCAACAACAAATGTTGTCCCAAACCAACAGCGGCCGCTGTTGGGCAGGTGGCCTTCTGTCTCGAATGGACACGGTCCGCGGCGGCGCGGACAGCGGGTCCTGTCAAAATGAACAGGAATTGCTGTTGGGCATTGTACCCATTCTTTCCGTACCCATTTCGGGCGTCCAAATCCCTGGGGGTACTTCTCGATCCTGGATCCGTGCCTGGCGGCCCGTGGGGTCCGACAGCGCCCCCCCCAGGCCTCACACGACGAGACGGAGCAACGAGACCCCTCGCGGCAGGAAAAAACAAAAAAAACAAAAAACGACGCACGGACTTTGCTATTTGCGGTCTCCGGGGGCCTTCTCCGAGCTTCGGGACCTAAAATACATGGCTGCGCGCAGGGGGGGGGGGGAGGGGGAGGGCTTCTCAGAAGCAGGCTGCTTCTTAGAAGGCGCCGACCTTACATCTATAGGTGAGGCCCGCGCCTTCTAAGAAGCAGTGGTGCTTCTAAGAAGCCCTCCCCCCTCCCCCCACCCCCCTCTGCGCGTGGCTGAAATACGGCTCGGGATGAAGAGCAGGTCCCAGGGAAGGGGTCCAGACCTCTGGGGGTCCAAGCTGTGAACGAAAAAATCTGACTTTGCTGGCCCAGAACCGGCGAGCGGAGCTTTTCCAATCACCATGTTGTAGTCTTAGCTTCGACCTCCGGGGCCAGGAGGCTTCGGAACCCGAGGCAATCAGGCATGGAACTAGAGAGAATAACTAGCCTCCGGGGAAGCGGTCGGGACCTCTGCCCTGGGGCCGCGGATCGAAAAAGAAAAAAAACATGTCGGCGAACGCTTGGGCATCCGGAGCAAAGCAACAAACAGAAAACACACCCTCGCCATCGCTCGGACGTCCATTCCCTGTGTTTTCTTTCGGTTTCGTGAGTGTTTTTTTCGCCAAATGATCGAGAATGCTCCTCAATGGTCCTCGCCGAAGGAAACATGCACACGTCCGAGCGATGCCAGGCACCCGCTGGGGTCAGGAAGCCGCCCTCGGCGGCCCCCGAGAGGCCGCCTCCGAACCACCAGCAGTGATGACCTGCGCCCAACACTCAAAAGCACATGAGAGCAAAAGCACCGACAATCCAGACCTCCTCTATCTCTGGCTGCGGGAGAGATGACGGCGGAAGGCTTTTGGTAATGCTTGGCTCCCCCATGGTTTCCGACGTCGGCGTGCTGTTTCACAACAGCGGCCCCTGGAGGTCGGGCCAGGCCAGGCTCTTCATCCCAAGTCGTTTCTTGACGGTTCCTGAACCCATGGCGAGGGCGAGCTGAAAGCTGTGACAAAAAAACAATCCGTCCTGCTTGCTCTTTCCGCAACGAGAGGAGGCGGGGCCCGTGGCACTGTCAATCTAACTGTTCCTCGGCGGCCAGGGGGGTCCCGCCCATGCGTGGCTTGTGAGGGTGCGCAGATTCTTGGGTACTCCGAGAATGCTTATTTCCAAAGTGCAAGCTTTGGTGCCAGGGCCCCTTCCACTGGTGAGGCCAGTCCACAGGAAACCTTCCACAAGAAACCCAACCCTGAGACCCCAGGGCGTCCGTCGATTTTCGGTGTGGGAACGTCACGCTTTCCATCGCAAAACCATCGAAACCCATGAAACCCAGGGCGCCCTGGAGGCAAGTGTTTCTTGGCATTGGTCTCCACTGTAGAGACTGCTGCAGCTGTGACGCTCATGCCATACGCGTAGAATCTGGTGTGCGCACCCCCATGCAAGCCTGCAGCAAACCTCCAGAAACAAGAAACACACGCGTAGAATCTGGTGCGCACCCCCATGCAAGCCTGCAGCAAACGTCCACTAACAAGACATACCCTGGCGAAGGACCCACAACCATACGCAGGCCTGAGTATCACAAGGCAAGTGGGGCGACGGAGGGGGAGCTCCATATCTGGGGTCACGAAACACGTGAGGGGTGCGCTGGAGTGAGCGGTGGGACCGCCTGCGAGCGCACCTCCTGGGGCGCGTGAGAGATGTGCCGAAATTCGCCGAGGGGCCACATTCGGGGATGGACAGACCTCCCTTTCGTAAAACGTGGTTTAGTGAAAACGACCTGAGGCCCAAACCTGGCGGGTGCAAGCCTGAAAAGTAACGGCCGCGGCGCCCTCTCGAGAACCGAAAACGGACAATTCACTAATCGACGTGTCACTGTTGGGGGTTCTGTCCGCCCCCGACACATATGAACGCACTCACGGGCGCCTCTGGTGGAGATCCAGATGGGGCCACGACACACGCGAGGGGTGCGCCGGTGTGAGCGGTGTGTCGAGCTGGGCGGGAGGGCCGCATGTGAACACAACCCCTCAAGGCTTCGTTGGAACTTCCTATGGGGTGTGCCGAAATGGGCTGGGGGGCGCTAGGCGACCCACCCCCACTCGAGGCTTCGGTGGAGCTCCATATGGGACCACGAAACGTTTGAGTGGTGTGCCGAAATGGGCCGGGGGACGCTATTCGACCCCCCCCCCTGGCGCCTCAGTTGGAGCTCCCTATGGGGCCACGAAACGTATGAGGGGTGTGTCGAGATGCGCGTGCGGGGGGCAGAAGCAGAAGCAGACGAGGGGAAAGAGGAAGACAGGAGGCGCAGGGCGCTGCGGATTCAAGACGAGAACCCAACACAACAGGACGATTGGGAAGTGCAGTATAGGACGCAAACCATTATGCACGTGCGGCATCCATGTAGACATTAACAAGAAAAGCATGAGCATCGCACACGCGGCATGGGCAGAGCTGATCATTTGAAAAGGAAGCTTTTCCACTGGAGTCATAGCAAGCAGATGCGACTTCGAATGCGCCTCGCAGACTTCGCATCACCATCAGCCAGCATCTAGAAGACACCTCGCGCTGGAGCTGTAGACTATGGTCCCACTATAGCCCCTCGGAACAGACGGTGAGTGGAAAGACGTGATACCCGGCCCAGCTCATCTCTCCAGCCCCTGCAGCCTTCCAGTGCCCGAGGGAAGTGCTCGCGCGTCTCGCCCCCCTTCTCCCTGTGGCTCGACCGACAACAAATGTTGTCCAAAACCGACGCCGGCCGCTGCTGGGCGGGCGGCCTCCTGTCTCGAATGGACACAGGCCGCGGCGGCGCGGACAGCGAGCCCTGTGCAGGATGAGCAGGGACTGCTGTTGGGCATCGTGCCCATCCTTTCCGTGCCCATTTCGGGCGTAGGAGGAGGAGGAGGAGGAGGAGGAGGAGGAGGAGGAGGAGGGGGAGGAGAAAGGAGGAGGAGGAGGAGGAGAAAGGAGGAGGAGGAGGAGGAGGAGGAGGAGGAGGAGGAGGAGGAGGAAGGGGAGGAGAAAGGAGGAGGACAAAGAGCACCTCGTCGGAGAGCCGGGGGCCCTCGCTCCCCTGCTGGACACCCTTTAGGTCGGGCATGTCCTCCTGCAGGCGGACTGTGGGCGAAGAGTAAAACAAGTGCGCAGAGACTTCTCCCACACGGTGACCGCACGATCCAAAGCTCGTCCCCTGACTGTTTGCTCTGACTATCTTCGAATATTCCTCGTGTGGAGGGACGGGCCCGACTCGACTGCGGCCGCCAGCCGAGGTTCCGGCGGGCTTCGCGCCCGGGGGGGGGGGCAGCCAGCAGGGGCACCTTGGAGAGAGGACGCCCCGGGCCCGAGGGCGCACGTTGCCCAGCACCGGGGCATCTGGATCAAGGGGGGCAGGTGGGTTATGCATATATATATATATACATATATATATATAGATATATTCCCCCCAGCGGCCTGGTGCGAGCTATCGTGTCCCCGACAGCGTGGTGCAAGCTATCGTGTCCAAGGCAGTCTGGTGCAAGCTGTCTTGTCCCCCGCGGCCTGGTGCAAGCTGTCGCGTCCAAGGCAGTCTGGTGCAAGTGATACAGGCTGACAGAGCAGGGGACAGGTGGGTTAATAGTACCGCAACGCACCCATGGGTCACAAGGAAGGGGGGCAGAAGGGGACGGGGAGAGAGGGGGCTAGGATGAGTGAGGGGATCACGGATCCACAAGAGGCGATCCATTAGCGGGTTCTGTGAAGAAAATGATGATCAAGAGGGGGGGAGTGAGCAGAAGGGACGAGGAGGGGAGGGGAGGGGCAAGGGAGCGTGCACGCATGCGGACGGCGAGGAGGAAGGATGCAGTGGGCCGACGAGGAGGAAAGAAGGATGAGGAATCGGGAGGACGGTGAGGCAAGAGAGGCCCCACTGTTCAACGTGAGGCTCCAACGACGTCTTCGACAGCGCGCGCGCAGCGAACCAGACGTTCCGGCCCAGGGACGGCACGTAGCAATTCACGGTGTCGTCGGCATTGTCGACCTCCTTTGCGACCACAAACTGGCCGAGGCACGCTCTGCGGTGGTGGTCATTCGCCTCCCCAATGCCCGCCTCGCGGCAGGCCTTCAGCACGGCGTCGACGTCGGAAAGCACCCAGTGCGTGGCCTTTTGGCACGCCGATCGACAACACTCCATAGACACACGACCTCTTCTTTATCCTCCCTCTTCCTCTCTTTGTTCACGCCTTCTCCTTCTCCTCCTCCTCCTCCTCCTTCTCCTTCTCCTCTTCTCCTTCTCATTCTCCTTCTCCTTCTCCTTCTCCTCCTCCTCCTTCTCCTCCTCCTCCTTCTCTGAGAGCGCTATGGGCCGCAGCGTCAGCTCCTCTCGCCACAGTGGCCCTCTGGGTAGGACCGCCAGTGTGACGCGCCCACGGGTCCCATCCGAGCCCCGGGAGGGCGTCGGCCGTCCCTGGGCCGGATGAGTCTGGACAGAGAGGCGCCCCCGCTAGGCTTGTGGATCGACGGTGCGCTCGGCAGTGTGGAAGAACAGGTAGAATTATGTCGGGCGTGTCCCCCTACAGGGGGATTTCCGACGAAAGATAAAAAACCCAAACATGCCCCAAGAAGGTCAGAAAATATTTAAAAGATAGTCCCCAGACTAGTTTTGGACTATTCTTTTAGCATGTTGGGGGCATTGTATATTTTTCGTCAAAAAATCCCCCTGTGGGGGGCAGGCCCGACTTAAAGGCAGAAGCATCGCTTCTGCCTCTGCGCCCCAAGCTGCCGTCAGGCGGAGGCCCCCCGTCGGGCCACCTGCGAGCGCATGGCCCGACGGCGACGACGACGGACGACGGACGACGACGGCGGCGGCGACGACGACGACGACGACGTCGAGGGCGACGACGATCACGCTGGCGACGACGACAACGACGACGGCGAGGGCGACGGCGGCGGACGACGGGCGACGACGACTTCGCGGCCGCCCTGCGCCCGCCGTTGCGGCGGACGATGGCGGCGACGGCGGCGGCGGCGGCGGCGACGACGGCGCACGGGGGCCACGTCTGTTCCGCTGGGTCGCTGTTCGAGGGCGAGAACAGCGTCGTGATACAGTCGAAATCTACAGTAGGGACGGGCGTTGGGGACGCAGGGGCCTGGAACGCCAAGGGTGGCACTTCCCCGGGGCGCCGGACTGCCAACACCCTGAGGGACTGGCCGGTGAAGGCCGCCAAGGACGGGCCGCAGAGGCAAGGACGCAAGGGTACCCTCAGGACATCCGTGCGTTCTTACTATGAGTTTCGAATGTAATAACACTGGCTCAAGATGCGCTTCAAGATTTCCAGGGTATCGAGCGGGCCTCGTTTCTGCAGCCCGTGTGTGACATCCCGTAGTCTTGGGAACTCTGGAAGCCTTGGCACGTACAATTATCATGGCATCATGGCCCACTGTTCCTCTAACATTCGCGTCAGCCCCGCGTCGACGTCGACGCCTACGGCGCAAATCCAAGTCGACTCCGCGTCGAGCCCACGTCGGCCCCGTGGCGGAGTCAAGGAAAAACCGCAACCTATTGGACAGACGAGGCCTCCCGAAGATTCAACGTACTCCAGATTTCGTAATAAAAGGGAGGGGGTCTGGACCCTCCAAGACAAGTCATTTCAGACCTCCCCCGTGGGAGAACCCTCCAAAACATCGTCCCCAGACCCCCCCAGGCCCTCCAAGATAGCCTGGAAGAGACCCCCCCCCCGAAATGAGACCCCCCTCCCTTTATTACGAAATCTGGAGTACACCATGTCATGCCGTCGGCGGCGACGACGAGGACGGCGAAACTGAGCGCCTTTGAGGGCCGCCCGGCGTCGCGGGCGGCCGAGAGCCCCTCGAGCACCGCCTCCGCCGTGACGGAGAGGCCGGCGAGCGCCGTCCTCACCGAGCCCGCCCCGACCTCGACGAGCGGGCCCGCCCACGCGAGCCTGTCCGCGAGGACACTCTGAGAGCGCGACCTGCCGGGTGGTCACGCTCCTCCTCCTCCTCCTCCTCCTCCTCCTCCTCCTCCCCTCCTCCTCCTCCTCCTCCTCCTCCTCCTCCTCCTCCTCCTCCTCCCTCCTCCTCCTCCTCCTCCTCCTCCTCCACCTCCTCCTCCAGCAGAACGATTGTGTGCTCCGATTCGTCTGGAGATGATTCACGTATGCCTGTTGATGTACACGTCGTTCACTTCTGATCGCGCTCGTTTCTGATCGCACTCGCTTCTGATTGTTCCTGGCCCCCTAGTGGCCAGGAAGAGGCCCAGGACAGAACAATTAGAAATGAAAGGATCTTGGCCCCAACAAAAGATCAAATAACTTTCGAATACTGAGAAAATCAACACTGTGTATGCCAGTTGATATATGTTTACAAGCCTGGGGGGGGCGGGGAACAACAAAAAACCCAACACATAAAAAAACGAGCCCCTGGGATCTGGGCTTCGGGGCCCCCTGGACGCTGCTGGAAAAGGTCCTCCAGCCTTGCCGCAAATCCGCAAGAGAGCCAAAGGATGGCCACAAGAAGGCCCGTAGACGGCCCAAACTCCTCTAGTCGGCCCCAACACGGCCCAAGAGGGACACACGACGGTCCAAGCAGAGCTCAAAAGGACCTTCAAGGCGGCCCAGACAAGCGCCCAGGCGGCCTTCAGAGGTCCCCAAAGCCCTTGAGAGGCATTCGTGAGGCCCTTACGAGGTTCTCCAACGAGGAGCCTGCGCAAAAAGACCTCAGACGGAGAATGGTTCGCAACGCCAGGCAAGAACAATGATAAGAAAAACGATGCGGAATGGTACGGCGGTGCTTCCCCTTGCCTTGCATGGTGCGACCGGGCAACTTGGGCCACGAGCGAGCCCGTGTGGTGGCCACGCTAAGGACCCCGAGCGTCATTCCTTTACATGGTCGTGCGTCTTCCCGAAGGCGTCTTCCCACGAAATATACAAAACTGATCCGGATCCCAGGTTTGCAATTACATTCCCCCAACATCTGTGGCGAACCCGCGTTTCGGTGTATTTTCAAAGCCAAGGTGGCATCGCTTGACACTGCATTGCTTCGTAGTCTGCGGCATTGCTCGGCAGCGCGTTGGTCTGCTAGGCATTTGTTCGCATGGATTGCCAGCTCTTCGCGTTGCGCACCTGGACAGTCCTGGCCACGAGTGGGCCGAGCGTGTGGGCCACACGAGAGCCCTACACGTCACTCATCGGGACAGGCTCTCAATTCAGTACATACCCATGCATCCGCAGCCGTTGACTCGAATGCTAAAGCTCCGCGTGCGCCACGTCCTCCTAGCTTTTCGGAGCCTCCGGGTGGCCCTCTCGTCGCCACGTCATCAGGGCCGCCTCCACATTCAATTTCAAACGCACCCCAAGAGAAATTCGGGTGGCGCACGAATGTGTAAATCGAGGGCGAGAGCAAATGAGGAACGGGTGGCCTTGGCCCCACTGGCCGACTTGCCCTCCTTGGTGGGTGGGGGCGCATGCTTTTCCCTTCGGGCTTCGCGGAGCCTATCCAACCTAGGCGGGTGACTCGGTGGGGCTGAGATACTATGGCCCAATGGGGACAATGATCGACTAGACTATGCTAACTGCTGCCTCCCACGAAACCGCTGCACTCGCACGTGGCGACAGACGAGGCAGACCAGGCAGTGCTGGAACCAGCCACGGATATCGATTATGATGTGTAAAACAGCCAACAAGACGGCATGCTGACTTGTCTCTGCACCGACCTTGCAAACGTGCGGCGGTGAGTTTTTGCGTGGAATTCTGTCGATGCGAAAACCCGAAACGGCGAGTGAAAAACGAAGTGAATTTCACGTGGATTTGGTCTTCATTGCCGGCCAGGAAAAATCCGCACGAAATCCACTCCGAAATCCGGAACAAAACTCTCCAGGACTCTGGGCCCATCCTATTGTTTGCCGAACGGAATCCTCTCTGCGATGTTGGCGCCATGAGACTTGAGAAGTCCGCGCATCAACAACACCAACCACAATGCGTTTGCATTGGGACACAATGGCGTCCTTGTTAATCGACGCTCCGGCTGGCGCGCATCTAGTTCCGTGGCGCCACTTCGTAACACATAGTTTTGCAAACTCAGCTAAAAAACAAACAGCCGTGGCATTTGAACACCGAATTGAATCCGTAGCGCACACAATTTGGACCACGAGTTTAAAACACCTTAGAACTCTCCCAAACCCACATGTAAACCATTTGCATTAAGGTTTACCCGTGAGTCCGAAGGCCAACGTTGAGGCAAACGAAAAAAACAGCCGTTGAAACCATATGTCTCTACAAATAGTGATGCAATACAAACAGCGGGACTCTACAACAGGCGCGATGTTCACGTGAATTAGAGCAGTTACTCGCTCCATCCAAACGCGCTTGCTGAAATGCCTAGTGATCTCACGTTCAAGCTTGCCTGGTGGTCGAATGTCCTGACAGTCTTGACCAACCGTGCTGGAACAACATATGACACCCTTGAACGGCGCATTTACCATACAACGATTGGCCAACGAGGTCCTGCGACGGGGGCGTGACGCCAGGCAAAACATGGAGGCCTTCATAGGGGAACGAGCAATGGCAGAAACATACAAACTGTGAGGTCCGCGCGGACTTCTCGGATCGGCGCTGAACCTCCCTCCCTGGCGCGCAGAGCGCGCCAATGGCGACGCCGGAGGCGCCGCCTGGGGGCCCCAGGAGCTGGTCCGAGGAATCCGCGCGGACCACCGAGTTGTTATGTTTATATCATTGTTCGTTCCCCTACTTCACGAGGAGAAGCTGTTGCGTGAGGCTGGAGGCCTAACTCCATGCTTGGCGGCCCTTTCTGAACTCGTCTGGCCGCGGAGGATGAGGAGAAGGAAAAGAGGAGGAGGAAAGGGAGGGAGGAGAAGGGAAAGGGAGGAGGAGGAGGAGAAGGAGGAGGAGGAGAATGAGGAGGAGGAGGA